TATACCGCCCTGTCCCGTATACTGCGCCTCTATACCGCCCTGTCCCGTATACTGCGCCTCTATACCGCCCTGTCCCGTATACTGCGCCTCTATACCGCCCTGTCCCGTATACTGCGCCTCTATACCGCCCTGTCCCGTATACTGCGCCTCTATACCGTCCTGTCCCGTATACTGCGCCTCTATACCGTCCTGTCCCGTATACTGCGCCTATATACCGTCCTGTCCCGTATACTGCGCCTATGTGGCATGAGGGGGGAACCAGCAATGAGCAAGATGAAATGAATTCTGACGTCCGTCCTTTTATTCTCCTTTTGAGGCTTTGTATACACCGGTAACGTTACCCGCGCGGCCTAACACTGCGCAACAGCGTGACACCTCCCCCCAGCGCAATCTGGGCCGTGCACCCCTCGTCTATGTTTACCTTACGGCCAATGTTCTGCGAACTCTCCGCTGTATTTCTCATTGTCTATCGGCCCTTCGCCCCCATTCACAGTTGGGCTGCTGCACTGGAAAAGGCGCCAATGCAACCCCGACGCATGTGTGAATGGGCCCTTTAAGTGGACATTTTTAACCCCCCGCCGCATGACATAGGGGAGTCATGGAGGCCGCGTTTTCTCTTTTTACAGATTAAATAAATCAAAGGTTTTTTATTGGCCACATTGAGGATTGTTAGGATTTCCTGAGGTCTTCTGATCTGATACATTGTATCCATCCGATCCCCTCGTATCCATGATCAATATTCATCCCGATCACCTCAACTGATACATTGTATCCACCCGATCCCCTCGTCTGCCGCCACACGCGGGTTGTACACAGTACAGGTGGTGTTGCGATGTCACCCGCATCCCTTGCAGCGATTATTGCTCGCGGTGCCGCGTTTTCCAAAATCGCGGAAGTCGGAGATCACCAGCACGTTATTTATAGAGGAGACGGGTCTCCGGCGTCATTTATCCCTTTCAGTCTTTATTGTATTCAGGAGAAATGACGCCGGTGACCTCCGACTTCTGCGATTGTACTCTGTTCAGACGCGAAGGGAGATTCCCAGCGCAATCAGCACCTCTGTACAGGAAGTTGGATTTACCTTTTTGAACACAGCGGCTAAGAAATACAAATCGCACAAAGGCGGCTCCCGGCCGATTTACTGCAAACACACCCGGGGGGGCGACACGTCTGTGTCTGGAGGAAGGAGGTCAAAGGTCAGCCTCAGATCTGCACTTCTCCATGGAGGTAAAAGGGACCTGCGTGTCGGATGCGTTTCAACGCACAATAACGCTGCGATCAGCGCCGCTCGAAGTCATGGGATCGGCCTGTGACGCTAGAAGCAAAAAAGAACATAGGCGTTGCCCATAGCAACCTCCCCGGGGCCAATGTGGGTGGTGTCTGGGTGCAGCTTGAGTTTCCTTACCCCGATTTATACACAAGAGGTGACGAGTCCGCATGACAGTCACTGCGCGGCCTGCCCCGGGGTGCCCCCCTAGCCTGCCCTGCCCCGGGGTGCCCCCCTAGCCTGCCCTGCCCCAGCTTGCCTTCCCCAGGGGTGGCCCCGGGTGCCCATCATATTGAGGGTCGGCTCTGCAGTCATCATTGTTGTCTCAGCTGTGCGGAGCCCGGGGGATTCATCTCTGAAATACTCCCCCGGGGGGTGGAAGGGGATTGTAGTTCGTATCTCGCTCTGTGAGGATCACCTGACGCCCCGGGGGATGATGGGATTGTCCGTTCATTCCCCAGAGACGGTGACACACCTGTGACATTCCTGACACCCGGCATAATGGTGGGGGTTGTAGTATTGGCTGATAGGAGTTGTCACTTTTATCGTGTGGAGAGTTATCGGGGCCGAAATATATCACCCGGTCACTTTCCCTCATCGGCTCCAACACGTCATTGTGAGTCTCCATAAATCTGCAGCTTCCGTTATATTCATCCCCCGGTGATCCCGCCATCATGGCCCTTGTTCGGGCACTTCCTGTTATTGGTTGACAACGCTCTGTCCCTTCTCCCAATTGTGCTCTGGCGTTGTCACCCCGTCACATGGGCTTTTGATGGAGACTGCAAGCGGCTGTTTGAATACATTACTCGGACATGATCCAGTGTTGTCACCATCAGGAAACCCGTCCTGAGAAATGTCATGTAGACAGGAAGTGGCTGCAAAGAGGCTGCAGGAGATCGGAGGAGGAAACGCGGGTTTCTGACTCTCGGCACGCAGAGCGAACTAAACGTCATTCAGCGATCACGTCTCCGTCCACACACGCGGCTTCGGGTGACATTGTCGGCATATCTGAGGTTTGCAGCACATGCTGGTACTTGTAGTCCCTCCTACAGAAAGTTGCAGGCTGCTTTTAGAGATGACACGGCTTGTAGTATTGTGGCCCCCCGGGGGCCCTTGTCAGATCCCGGTGTCCCCCCGGGGGAAGGGGGTGTCCACCATCTCCTTCTGAAAATACTTCTTTTTATTTTACTTACAATTCTTGTTTTTCCTCTTCCTGGTCCTCTTGGGCATTAGTGATGTCATGTGCCCCAGCGTTGCATCCTGGGAAGGTGACATCCGCGGAGCGTTGCTGGGAAATCTCGCCAGATCTCAGGGAAAGACCTTTTCTTCCCCAGAGAGGATGTGCACGGTCACATGTCCTGGTAACATGTGCCAGAGGTCCAGGAAGTAAAGGGAGATATAATAATCTGCCCTTAGTAACAATGGCCGCTGTGAGAAGAATGGGGGAGGAAAAGAGAAATAATGATCCTAGAAGTCTCTGCGTGGAGATTGTCATCACTGAACATTTCTGAAGGCATCAAATCACCTTATCAGGGGGCGGAGCCTTCAATCCGGAGTGCTCCGGAATCCTCTATCACAGCTTCAATGTTCATATCAAAGATTGTATATAGAAGATGATATTTCACCTTTATAAATACAATTCATAGAAGACGTTCCGTCTGCCGGAGATTCTCTCATCTCTGCCCCGGGGGGTGTAAAGGAAGTGCGATACTCAGGAATGT